CCTCACATGTATATTCATCGTGACAAGACCTTTCCAGGGGTGTAAATATTTTTGACCTTGACCTTGGAGTTTGACCGACTTAAAAAAAAAATTTAACCTTGGCCATAAGTTTTAAACAGATAGTACAAGGGCTTTCAAATTTCACAGGTATATTCCTTGTGACAAAACCTTCCTTTGGATACCAACAATTTTGACCTTGGCACTGGAGTTTGACCTACTTTTGAAAAACTATAATCCTCACCATAATTTTTGAACAGTTGGTACTAGGACTTTTATATTTTTACATGTGTATTTCTTATTACAAATTCTTCCCCCGCGTACCATTAATTTTGACCCTTTGACCTTGACCATGGAGTTTGACCCACTTTCAGAAAATATTATTTTTGACCATAACTGATTGGGGCTTGGGCTTGGTAATTCCACCTTTAAAGTTGGCTTTTCCTTTTAAAGTTGGTAATAATTTAAAATAAAGGAAAAAGCTAAGAAAAGGGTTGGAAAAGCCAAGATTAAAGTTGGAATTACCAACTTTAAAGTTGGAAATCCAAGATTAAAGTTGGAAAAACCAACTTTAAAGTTGGAATTACCAGCTTAAAAGAAATATTATGTGGCACTAATGCGCTTCCGTAATTAAGGCAGTGCATTCGGACTCTTTACATTAGCCGAAATATAGAAAAAAAAGTTTTATAACAATTAATACAAAGTCCGAAAAGTTAATTAACAAAGTAATTTATATTAAGTCCGAAAAGGTCATAATTTTCACCCTGACATTTGTAACAAATCATATTTTGACTTTTTGTTATGTGCTTTTGGAATCGAAGACAAGATAGTGAGTGAATTTTTATTTTTGGTACTGTCTGTCTATCAGATGAGATATATATCATCCATGATCATCATTGACATTGATAGATGCACACAATATATACGTTGTTACTAAACCTTGAAACGTGGGCTTGGAGCGTACCAAGTTATTTGGTATCAGCAAAAACCGTTTTGTTCGAAGTGTGAAACATGTACATGTACTATTTCATATGGCATGTCAAACGTTGCAATATTCGATCTTTTCCATTTGCATTGTATAATTTTCCATTTGTATTGTATAATTTTTATTTGTATTGTATAATTTTCTATTTGTATTGTATAATTTTTCATTTGTATTGTATAATTTTCATTTATACATGTATTCTATATTTTTCTATTTGTATTGTATAATTTTCAATTGTATTATATAATTTTTATTTGTATTCAATAATTTTCGATTTGCATTGTATAATTTCTTATCTGTATTGTAAAATTTCTTATTTGTATGCAATAATTTTTCATTTGTATTGTATCCGCGGATTGTTTATTTGTTTCGTTACGAAGGATTTCATTGGTCAAGATTCAGCCTGTATCGGGTTGAAGATGTTCCGGGTGCTCAAAGCAAACTGGGCTCATATGTATTTGCTTGCTTTCAGCCATATTTCGGCGGCATATGTATTTGCGTGCACGTTAGACGGTCACTGGATTCTAAAAAGGGAGCGCTGGTAGATGGCAAATAAATAATGTGTCCTTAGAAAATAAATAAATTGACCTTGAGTGGTGGTACCTACCCTCACCCCCCCCCCCCCCCAAATGAGTTTTCGGGTTTGGGCAGATTTTCTTCTTTTCCTTTTTCTCCTTGTCTCTGGTCATATTGGAAAAAATATTCTCTCCTGTGAGCCTGTGAGAGAATGAAAATAAATAATCGTATTCGACCCCCCCCCCCCCCAAATCAAATGGTCGTCCCTTAGCATGCACCGCAAATAGAGGAGCCGAGTTTGTGTTTGTAAAGAGTGCGCGATCGGAATTGTGGGAAGGGTACCAGACTAAGTTTGTGTTGGGCTCGCTATAATTTCTTATTTGTATTGTATAATTTCTTATTTGTATGCGATAATTTTTCATTTGTATTGTATCCGAAGATTGTTTATTTATTTCGTTACTGCTAGCTCTTAAAGCCTGGGCGAAGAGAAAATTCGGACTTCGCACATTAATCATGAATTTTTTTCCCCAGTTACCTGTGGTCCCATAATGCTTAGCGAATTGCATCTCGTAGCTAATTACGTTCTCGCGGTAGCAACAAAAATTCAACAAAAAATAAAATCACCCTGATTTAATGGATATATAGCAGATAAATAGTAGATTAAACGTTCTTGATTAAAATATGCACTGATCAGACTCCGTTTTGGTAATGCAACATACATATGACGTCAGAGTCTAGACATAGCAAATATCACGTGCGGTTTGACGAGCCCGATCTAAATTAAAACTGAAAGGTATCTGCGCTCGCCCTAACGGTCGCACCGTCAACATATTACAATGCAAATGGAAAATATAGAATACAAATGAAAAATTATACAATACAAATGATTTTTTTACAATACAAATGGAAAATATAGAATACAAATAAACATTATACAATCCAAATGGAAAATTATACAATTCAATTGGAAAATTATAAAATCCAAACGGAAAATTATAGAATACAAATAAAAATTATACAAATGTAAAATTATACAATACAAATGAAAAAAAATTTACAAATAAAAGTTATACAATACAAATGGAAAAGATCGAATATTGCAACGTTTGACATGCCATAATTTCAAACAGGAAGTGCAGGACTGTCTAAACATTATCTATATCACTTAATTGTTGCGTTTTTTTCTCCAAAGACGTCTGTCGCTGATCAACCATACACAGTTACTGTTTCACGCATGCGTATGCCTTGTTGAAAATACATCCATGAGTAATCATATTGTCTGCTAATTGTGTGCACGGATGCAAAAATAGAACTTTACGATTCGTTTAGACCCTTAAAAGCGCTTTCATTTTGGGGGGGGGGGGGGGGCACAACCTACCAGAAATGATTGACAAAGGAAAAAAAACCCTCATCAAACAGGCCTGTAGGAAGCAATTTCAGTTGGGGGCACTATCAACCACCAACAATTCCTTGACAAGCAAAAAAAAAGTCGTCAGATGTTATTATTGAGGGGATATATGCATATAGTAGCTATGTTTTCTATAGTATTCTATATATCGGCAAAATTATGGGGGGGGGGGGTTACGCCCCCCGTGCCCCGGATCCTACGGCCATGTCAAACGTTTTTGAGTGGTTACAAGCGTTAATTAGTGTTCTTTATTGAATACTATATACAGGCAAAAATACTGAGGGGACGCAACTGTAAATAAGCTTCGTTTTCTATATAAAGTATATACATATGTACTGCCCCCATCCTCCGGTTCCTATAGTCTTGTTCTATCTTCATACACTAGGAGCTAAAGTCTCACCGTCATATTACCTTAAGGTATACTTTAATAAACAAAATGCATAAAAGTTACAAGCTCAGTAATATACACGAAATTAATCTTTCTTTTTTTCAATCATTCTTCTGATTTAAAGTGTCTGGGAAGTATGTAACAATGCTAGTTTTAAAATACGTAGAATTGTATAATAAAAACATTCCGTAAGTTTTACAGTCAGATTCGCAACGATAACGGAGATATTCCGGGTTAAAGTAGGCGGTTCTCGCACCTGTCTAAAACCAATCAACGCTACTTCCGGTTTTACCATAAATAGCGAAAAACCCCGCATGACGTCACATCACATCAAGTTCAAAATGGCGAGTACAAACAACAACAGCGAAGCCTCCGATTCTGCGTCCGATATCGACCTACATATGTCGTTTGAGGCCTCATCCTTCGAAGAAACACAAGAAGAACATTTCCAGAATGTAGCCCCTTATCGATTTGAACCTGAGGCGAGTGATTCTAGTGAATCTGATGGCTCAAGTGAGGACGATGTCGACAACCCACAGCGGCTCGGCAATACGGACTGGTATGACTTTCACGTTAAAACTCTCTGGTATAATACAAAGAAAAATATATATTTTATACTCATAGAATTTCGCATGGTCTGAACTAATAATAATTAATAAAAATATTACTATATAAGCCAAATGTTGCGAGAAATGAGGCCATGTAAATTACACCCATGCAACATGGCTGAATATTCGTTCGGGACGACCATTTGAATCTTATGGGCTAGCAGATTTAGATCTATTCTTGAAAATTGTCTCAATGAGAAGGAAATAATTAATCTGATCTTGAAAAGTGGTATATACACGCCCAAAGAGTTTACTACTTTTTTGTAGCTTGTCAACTTTTCTGGTCTCTATAGTCATGGAGTTTGGACATGTTTTTTTTTTCTGCGATGGCAGAAAATTAAGATGACAACTAAATTTGTCAGAACCTCTAACTCTGAGAATAAAATTTTGCCCCTTTACAGGCCCGTAGGAAGCAATTTCAGTTGGGGGGGGGGGGGCACAGCTGAACATTTTCAGTTGGGGGGGGGGGCACTATCAACTACCAAAATTCCTTGACAAGCAAAAAAAAAAAGGTCATCAGACGTTTTCATTGAGGGGGCACAAGCAACAAGCATATAGTAGCTATGTTTTCTATAGTAATCTAGATATCGGCAAAATTATTTGAGGGGGACAACCCCCCCCCCTTCCTACGGCCATGCTTTATACCTGATGATAAGTTGAAAACAAAAACTGTATTGCTCTATGCACATTACCTACATGTATGGGACTTCTGGAGTATTTTTTTTTTAAAGATTAAAGTTGATAAATAATCATTATGTCTAATGCATCTTCGTAAGCCAAGGGTTTTCGGTCTGCTTCGCGGGGAGAAAAGTGGACCGAAAACCCTTGGCTTGCGAAGATGTGTCTAATATAACTTCCATGTAATCATGTTTGAATATTGTAGGTGCACTTGTGGATTCTGTACTCCGAAACCCACACTCAGAGAAAGTATATGCTGCACTGAAATCACCAGGATTGATGAAAAGAGAACATCTTATCAGAAAGAATTGCCTTGCATTACAGAACACCCTGGATTCCAATCTGTTTGTCTCGACATCTACGTCTTGGAGACAGCCTATTATCAGTATCGTTCCCAGTATGGGGAATTGCAAAAGACCATTGAACAGTAAGACATTTTATTGAATTTTTACATATTTGTTCCAAAAATGAAATAAAGCATTTGAAGAAAATCACAAAGACTATCACAAGTAATAACAAGTGCATGATAACATGATTTTCTTTTATTCAATTAAGAAGAAACAGATATACAGCATATCGTCAGCTTGTTCGTTGGTGTTGGGGCTACTTGGGGAAGAGTGTTCGTGTCCCACTTCCCTCTTGTGCAGTTACAAAGATACACCATTCCTTCAGTTCTGAAGAGTATCAAGGATTCAGAGACCCTGAATGAGTAAGCCACTTCTATATTTTGGATTAACAAAAATTCACCATATTATCAACTTTTACTATCAATTTTACAAATTAAATAAATATAAAGTTTACACAGCATAAATCTTATAAATGAGAAATGGTTAAGCATAGGATACAGAAAACAACCTTGCCTAGTCACACATACAAGCAAAAAGCAGTTCAAAATAATTGACAAAACATAAGCCTCATGTACATATTACAATAAAATTTATAAAAGCATCAGCTACAAAAAAAATCTTGATTACATAGGTAATTTTTTTTGCACCCAGGAACGGGACGTGGACCCTGCTTTTTTTGTTCCCATTTTTTTTTTTTTTTTTTGCAATTTTATTTTTGTTTTCCTACATGCAAATTTACAAGTAAATGCTAACTATAACACTATTTATACAATTATTTACAAACAGACTATGACAAACTACAGCATGAGTATCCACAACTGATATTTACAGTTCTATGTATACAAGGGCTAGAATCTCCTACACAGATGTCTCCTTCCTCCCAAACCGAGACTGGAAATTAAACACTGCTTCCTCCTTTTCAGGGTGAAGAAAATCACTGCACAGAGGAGGTGGTTGCAACTGAGGCAAACAGAGCACAGGTGGAAAGGCGGGTGCTGGTGTCCGGGATGATACCTCAACATATCGTAGAGTCTCTGTCATCAAATCAGATGCATACCCTGAAATGCATAGACAATATTTAAAATTTGTAAAATATTGAGGACTCTATCTCTGTTGATAAATACAAGTATCATTCTCGTGTTTTGCTTGGTATTGAATAAAATTAAATTCAACATATTTTGTTATTTATATATACATTTTTTTTTTTGGTTGTTCAATTTTTAAACGAGGAGGGACTTTTACAATTTTTTTTTTTTTAAGGTGCGTTAATAAAAGCATCTTACCAAACGTTGAATCTACAGTCTTCATGCGAACACTATATTCGCCATGCTTGAACTTGGGAAAGCTGATCTTGTACTGCAGGTTTCCCTCCTTTGTAACTGCCTGCATTCTTGAAGAGTTCTCATTAAAATGGAGAGCAGCAACCATCAACCTACATAAAATTTTTAACCTTGTAGATTACAATAAATAAAATCTCCATCTGCTTTCTGTATTGTAGAAATTTAAATAAGAAATGATATAAAAAAATATCCAATATTACTGTGTAAGCATACCTGCAGTACATGCCATGATAAGAGAAGGAAACCATCTTGGGGGCAAAGTGATTGATAGTGCTATGGAAAGCCTCAATCTGGGATGTTTGGTGCAGTGGGGACAGCTTGGGTATATCTTTCTTCATCTGATTGGACAGGATAATATCGCAAATCTTCTCACTGGCTTTCGTTCCTTTATGAAAACAAAATGTATACTTATTGTACAGGATTTTTCCCTTTAACAAGGCAGTTATGAAATTTGCCAATAAAGAAAGTAATAATTATTTATCAATTCTAAAATAAGGTTTTACCTGGTTTTATCCACTTCTTTTTCTGCTCATCACCCTCTAACGTGTCATGGGCACAAGATGGGAAGAGGTCATTGTGGCCCTCATGAATATTGTGGATATGGTTTTCCACAGACTCCCACTTTGCCCACATGAAGTCCCCATTCCCATCAGGTGTTGAAGCTGCCACCCAGTACAAGTGGTTGGTCAAGCTCTTGATCCATTTGGCAAGATTCTCACACTCCTTCTGTTTGGATGCAGCTAGGATCTTTTTCTTTAGACCTGAAAATATTTTGGAAGCCATGTTTACAGAGTAAAATTAATATGTCCCATCTTAAGATGGGCATATAAAAATCATAATTTAACTGCTTCATTTCATCTTTTACATTCATAACTTTTTAAATCATACATGTTAATAATAACTTTGGAGATAACTCAGTAGAAGTCATTATAAAAGTTAAACATCAGCTAATGTTGATTCTGTACAAAGATGTCTTTAAATACATACAATTCAAATACTGGTAAAGAAAGAAAAGAAAAAGAATACCTTTTGCCACATGCCAAACATCATAATAGTGTGTCGTCTCCGTCAAGTTCTCCCTGATCCACTTTTGTATCTGGACATGGCGGTCAGTCACTATCGTACCAATCTCCAAATCTTGGTCTTTCATCCAGGCAATAGTCCGCTCTAATCCCTTCTTCTCCATTCCCAAGCTGTTTTTTACTTCATTGCTCTACAAAATTTAATCAGATTTCATTAACTTCACAAAACTTCAACCAAACACCTAAAGTTAGTACACATTTTTTCCCCTCATTAGATCCTTTTTAGCATTTTATTTTCATGTATACTTTGTTGAATCTTTTCAGCAGTGTTTGAGTGATAGTTTTATTTAAAATAATGATAAAATAATATTTTTTTTTTTAAAACAGTTCATCTTTAATTTAAATAAAAAGTGCAGATATTTATCGAAATAACTTGTTTACCTGAACCAGCTGGATATCAATGACAATTCCTTCCTCAAGGTCAATGGTGCTGTACGAGCCAAACTTTGCACAGTGACCAGGGGAGTCAGCTCGCCCATCTCCACCAATAACCAGAGGATCTCCTCTTTCCAAAGCTCGACTTGCATACTCCTGCTGGTGCTTGTCCCACACACGAGCAATTACAGGAAACAAAATGGCTGACTGGTGGGAATTGAATGTTCTTCTGGTAATGGTTGCAACCCCCATGCAGTTCAGCACACGAAGAACTTTGGACACAAGGGCACCAGAAAACAGTATGGCGGCAGATAACCCAATGTTCCCAACAGGAATATTCCCAATGAATGGCTGACTGCTCCACTGCCAGGTAAACCCACAGAACTCACACTCCACAGCAATCTTCACCATTGTTCCAAGCACCTGCTGTACACTTGCTGCTGTATACTTGTGGCACCTCCTGCAGTTACTGAACAGCTCAAGCAGCTTGGTTTCGGAGATGATAAACTTCCTGTCTTCCAAGGGGTTGCAGGGTGCTTCAGTGCTACAATTTTTAAAAGATTAAATTAATTACAGGGAAATAAAAATTGCCAAAAGAATTGAGGCTAACATATTCATTTTCTCTTCATAGTAAACTTTTTGAAGCAATTCTTAGGTAACTGATCAATGACCATAGCCTAATCACTTACTTGATATCCTGTACATGAGAATCATCTGAACTAGTGCCAGAAGGTTCATACAATGAGGCAGTCTCATTCTCCGTCTGGATAGACTCTTCACCACTAGAGGAATCAGGAACAGGAACAGGTGCTGGAGGTGGACGTGGAGCAGGCAAATCATCTCGTACATCAACCTGAATACCAATGCTTCGAACTCTGGGTTGTAGGTCAACTTGTAATCCTAACAAATTACATATAAACATTATATGTCATTGTGAGAAAACAAGATTTTTCTCTTAAAATTTATATTTAGGAGGAAGAACAATGATCTAATTAGTCTTATGCATATGAACTTGCAATTTTTTAAAATTGAATACTACACACAAATTAGGTACTGATAAGTTAAATGTTTTCCTCTCTTTTCAAAATTTAAAAAGAAATGGTGAAAGGGGGTATATAAACGATACTACATAATATAATTCAGTTATAATAATCATCAATGAGTAAATATGTAATAATCCCTGAATGTATGTCTTTCAATACCAGCTTAGGGGTCATAGTCCATAAATGTACATGTTCTAATATAATAAATGTTTTTTAAAAAAAAGCCAAACTAGCCATGGGGAATCAGATTGAGAGTACCAGGTATATTGCAGTAATAATCAAAGAATAAAGAATGACAATTACAACATATTATTATCTTATGTTGCAACAAGTTACTTCGAATAAGTACCTTTTTCCTTATTCCTTGCAGCAACTTGAATCTTTACGCTACGTTTTCGTGTTGATTCTGTCTGACATGCCATAGACACACTTTTCTCCTCCTAAAATGAACAGAAAAAAGATTAATAAGTAATCCGTAGAAGTATAATTGTGGCCTGCATACTTTACAGCAATATTTTTATCTCTTTTCTTTAATAATACTCGTATGAATAGTACAATTTTTTCTTCCTTTCACTAAATTTAGAACAAGTGCAAGTTTCTGTTTTATTTCATAATAGTTTACTCATACACATATGGACTTATTTGCATAGAGTCTAGTATTGTGGACATGTTAAGCAGGAAATTTAGATTTGGTTATTATTTATTTAGGGTCAAGTAATTTAAATTCAGAAGAACACAGCGATGAAGAATGTAATAACCATCTCTTTTAATCTTATATCTGAACTGAATAAATCTTCATGATATTGTGAATAATGCACAAGATGCATGATAACATCATTTATATTTAACAAAATAATCATTGAACTTTTTCTTAAACGAGGCAAGCTGACAAATTTATACTACATTTTTTATTTCGTATATTTTTGTTGACCTAATCAATCTGTGCAGAGTTATCTTAATTATGCCCAAACAAAAGTCATAGGAGATGTCAATTTAAATAAACATATCTCTTACTACACATCGGATCCTCACCAATCTATCCTTGTTTAATACGCAATACAGTAATAACCAACTTATCAGTTGTAAAAATCATTCTTACATTCATGGTCCTCATGGGACTTAGAACCGAAAGTTGAATAGCAAGTTGAATACCGATCCCAATCGGAATCAAGATGAAGAATTTAACAGAAAAGAAATTGAGACAGAATTAGATGAGAATCTATGATTTTTTTTTTTTTAAATAATGGCCTAAAAAAAGATAAATAAAAGATGCATCAGCATGTGGAATAAGAAGAGAAAATTTAATAAAATCATTCTTTCTTTTCAGTTGGTTTAGTACTACATATATTGTGTAAACATAATTATATAAAGCTAAGGTGCAAGGAATGTAACAATTTACACATTTCTCTCTATTTTTTTTTTGGTTCTTAAATATGTTATATCATACCGAAACAGGTGTGGGAAAGGGAACAGGCGTTGTTTGGATCCCAACACATTCATCCTGGTCTTGTGACTCTTCCTGTATTTCTTCAACCTCTGTGTTGTCATGAAGCAGCTCTGCCAATACCTGCGATAAAATAATGAACAAATTTTAACACAAACAAATAATATAAATTTGAATAAGTTTAAGATATTTCAGTGAATACCCAGTGTAATTTACTTTCTGTTTAACAAACAAAGAACATGAAAGCATTTTTAGTGCAGATGAGGTCTTTTTTCTTATTCCGAATTTTCTCACCAAAAGTCTACAAATTTCTGAAGTTAATATTTTTTTATTATCGAATCACCACCATTTATAGATTAAAACAAAATAGAATAGAACAAAAAAAAACTAACCCTATTCCTCTCACGCTTTGCATGGGCTCCTCGTACTGGAGTAGGGGTGTTTACATGGGGAGACTCCAGGAACGCATCGTTCAGTTGGTCTCTTTTCCGCTTGGGATATATGCTTGGTATGGACCCCTGGCGTAGACGCTTCTTCGCTGGGATCCCAAAGTCCTTCATGAGCGAGAAATGTACCTCATAGCAATCCTCGTTGAAATGGTCACTGCAGATAACGGTGTATTTCGAAGGACCAGACCAGTCTGCCCTCGTCAGCTTCACAAAACGACACCAGGCCGCTCGCAGTCGCTCATCTTTGGGGAAAACATGAACCGACACGCCATCTGACTGTCTTTTGCTGCATCCCGCTACAGCACACATGCGTCCGACACTTTTGCTGGCCATTATTCGCCGGAAAACACGCACAGGTCAATAGAAGACTTTCTAAAAATGGCGCAAACTGATGTGTTGTGACGTCACTTCCGTTTTAGCTAGGAATAGCCTCGTTTTCGGTATCGTAAAGGTGTATATTTTTAAAATTTTCAGTTTTTTGGCGATATCTCCTTTATAAAATCGACTTTGTTGGAAAAACTTGCTTTTCTAGATATTTTAATACTTAAACAAAATATATAATACCGCTTTATCATCTACTTCCCAGACACTTTAAGATTAATGAAGCTAGAGGTTCCAGCGTTGGCTATTCCACTGCTATGAGTGTCGACAACCAGGAAAAACAAGTATCTAGCAGCATAAATATTGGTGCGGATATTGGATCTTTTGTGGATTGTACCAACAGTGAAGTTGGTGGAATTCCCCTATCTGAAGAGCTTCGATGTGCAATTTCTAATATAGAGGACCTGGACGACGTATGTTACTATTTTGTTTTTGTTTTATTTGTGCCTCTATTTTTTTTAAACACATAAGCCCCCTCCCCCTCAATCATTACAAATCAAGATCAATATCGCTATAACAGACAAGCTTTTTTAATTATGAAAACGTAAGCAAGAGACGGACCAAAACTTCATACATGCCACCACATGCGTGCATCAACAAGTATGAACTTTATCAGGCATGTCTACAACGACATTGAATTTATTGATTAATCTTGATATTCCAAATGAATTAAAGATTCTAAAGAAAAATGTGTTTCTTTGATTGTAGTCTTCTCATGAATTACTTTTTTTAATAAAAAGATCCGGAACTTACTACATGTACTCTATTACATTGACAAAAATTTGAAGATGTAATTAACGTTTGGTCGCGTCCCGAATGGCCTAGTAAGTTCGTTCAAATTTTGTTTTGTTGGTTTTTATTCCCCGCTTTCACTGAAAGTGGGCGATATTAATTTGGGTCGATCTCTGTCTGTCATACTGTCTGTGTGTAACACTTTCGTTTCCAAACAATATCTCGAGAAGCTTGATAGCTTTTGCCTTGAAATTTTATACCCAAACTCCCTATGGCTCACAAAAGACTTCTTTCTGTGTATAAAACTTTCGTTTCCAGGCAATTACTTAAAAAGTTTTGAGCCTTTGCAACTTCTAATGATTTTGAGGTCAAAAGGTCAAGGTCAGAAATTCCTACATTGCAAATAACATTTTCCAGATGATATATCTAACTTTCGTTAGCTCTTCAATAAATTCTAATATCATAACTCCCTATGGCATGAAGAAGACCCTTATTGATTTTTAGGTCAAAAGGTCAAGGTCATAAATTCATACATTCTGTCAGTGTGTAACACTTTCGTTTCCGGGCAATGTCTTATCTTAAAAAGCTTTTGAGCTTTTTCCTATGAAATTTTATATCACAACTTCCAATGCCTTCGGAAAGAACTTTAAGGTCAAAGGGTCGAAGATTAAGGTAATAAATTTATACATTGCAAATAACAGGTTTAAGATATTAACTTTAGTTCTCTTTGAGCTTTTTCAATGAAGTAATATATCGTAACTCCTAGTGACGTCAAAAAGACTCCTATTTATTTTAAAATCAAAAGGTCAAGGTCAGAAATTCATAAAATACAAAAAAATGTTTTGGGGATGATAACTTAGTTTTCCTTGTCAGAGCTTTTTCTATGACATTTTATATCATAACGTCCATGACTTCAAGCAGACCCCTTTTTATTTTTTAGGCCAAACGTTCAAAAATCACATGTTGCATAAAACAGATTCCCGGTGATAAATCTAGTTATTTTTGAGATTTTGCAATGAAACTTTGTACTTTTAGACAATATGACATAAAAAGACTCCTATTGATCTTGAGGTCAAAAGGTCAAAGACTGAGGTCAGAAATTTATATATTGCATACATGCTTTTCATGTGATAATTTTAGTGCTCTGTAAGTTTTTGTAATGAAACTAAAGGTCATGAATTTCTTGAATCTAAAAAAAAAAAGGATCCCTTTGTCAATTTTTAAGGTCAAAAGCTGCAAGTCCAAGGTTGATCTTTTATTTCTTTCTCCATCTGCATATTTTTTTTTCAGTTCTTCCATTGAAGAATTCATTTCTTCAATTCTCGTCTTCTTTTTTCCTTTAGCGGGGGACACAAAGTACATGTATATGAATTAGCTTGTTCTATGTAAGAGCTTCTTTTTTTTTAGGTAGATAGCCTCGTAGGTAACATGATGAACTATGTACAAGTTGACACTTCTCATGACGAAGACCTAGAATCTGTGGTAGAGCAGACAGGTATTTTGTCGGTAGGTATACCGCAATAAAGAGCTACCACATTGTAATTAGCTATGGTTGACTTGATAAGGACGGCGAAGTACGGACAAATGTCAGTATTGATGAAGGCTTATTCCCAGAACGGCTACTTTGCAAGTTTAAAAAGTGAAAAATTCTCTTGTTTGAGGAAGTTTATTATTTTTTTTTTTTAACAAGACTTTTAGGGAAATTCGAACAATGGCCGTCAATTTATTTAACCATTGTGTGGTATTGATTTATTTATATTTTCTAATTAATTCTTTTACATAAAATGTAGAATGTTACTAACAAATCTTGCACTTTAAAGAATAAACCTCAACCCATTGTAGTCCAAAGATAATTTGTTACGATTGTTATTGGTGTTTTTATTAGGTCACCTGAGTCACTCAGGTGACCTATTGCTATCCGTTTTCGCGATGTGCTTTATCATTTAAACATTTTTAGCTTCTTCTCTGAAACCGCTTAACCAATTTCAACCGAATTTGGCATATAGCATCTATGGGTAAAGGGAAACAAAAATTGTGAATTTCATGGTTCCTGCCCCCCTGGGGCCATAGGGTTGGGGCTAAAACCACCAAAATTAATGCAATCTTTAAAATTCTTCTTCTTTACTCCTGAACATCAAGAAGTCAAACTGTTGGCATAATTGTAATAAGCATTGAGCCCTCTACCAAAATTGTGAAATTCATGGCCCCATGGTCAGGGGTTCTTGTGCTAGGGTGGGGCTATATAGATCATATAGTGAAAGTGCATTATTTCTTTGAAAATCTTCTTCTCTGCTTCTGGGTATTAAATAAAGTAACTAAGTACATAGTTATGATGATCAAGAGTGCCTCTTACAAAATTGTGAATTTCATGGCCCCTGGGTCAGGGTTTCTGGTGTTCGGTTGGGGCTCTATTGACTATATAGTGAAATTGCATTAATTCTTTGAAAATCTACCTCTCTGCTCCTGGATATTTAATAAAGTAACTAAGTACATAGTCATGTTAAGCAAGACTGCCTATTCCAAAATTATGAATTTCATGACCCCAGGGTCAGGGGTTCTGGTGTTCAGGTGGGGCTCTATTGATTATATAGTGAAAATGCATTAATTCTTTGAAAATCCTCTTCTCTGCTCCCGGGTATTAAAGGAAATAACTAAGTGCATAGTTATGATGAGCAAGAGTGCCTCTTCCAAAATTGTGAATTTCATGTCCCCTGGGCCAGGGGTTCTGGTGATAGAGTGCAGCTCTATTGATTATACATGTATAGTGAAAATACATTAATTCATTGAAAATCTTCTCTGCTCCTGGGTATTAGATAAACAAAGAACATAGTTATGGTGAGCATGACTGCCTTTTCAGAAATTGTGAATTTTATGTCCCCTGGGTCGGGGTTCAGGTGTTAGGGCGGGGCTCTATTGATTATATAGTAAAATTGCATTAATTCTTTGGAAATCTTCTCTGCTCCTGGGTTTTAAATAAACTAATTAGTGCGTAGTTATGATGAGCATGTTTGCCTCTTCCAAAATTGTGAATTTCATGGCCCTTGTGTCAGGGGTTCTGGTGTTAGGATGGGGCTCTATTGATATATATAATAAAAATATATTAATTCTTCGAAAATCTTCTCTCTCCTGGATATTAAATAAACTAAGTATATAGTTATGATGAGCATGGCTGTCTCCTCAAAAATTGTGAATTTCATGGCCCCAGGGTCAAGGGTTCTGGTGTTAGGGCAATGCTCTATTGATTATATAGTGAAAATGCATAAATTCTTTCAAAATCTTCTTCTCTGCTCTTGGGTATTATTCAAACAAAGGAAGTACATGGTTATGATGAGGAAGAATGCCTCTTCCAAAATTGTGAAATTCATGGCCCCTGGGTCAGGGGTTCTGGTGAAGGGGGGTGGGGGGGGCTCTATTGATTATACAGTGAAAATGCATAATTTCTTTCAAAATATTTTTTCTGCTACTGGTTATAACGCAAAGAAACAAGTGTATAGTTATGATGAGCAAGGGTGCTTCTTCCAGAATTGTGAGTTCATGGCCCCTGGGTCAGATGTTCTGGTGTAAGGGTGGGACTTTATTTATTTATTAATATAGTGAAAATGAATTTCTTTGAAAATCTTCTATGCTTCTGGGCATATTGGAGGCAAACAGAGTAAAAGTTTTAATATGCAAAGGTACTTTTACCAGAATTTTGAACACCTGGACCATTTAGTCAAGTGTTCTCGTCCTGGCCAGGGCTCTATTAACTTGTATTCTGCTGAGCAAAGTTATTCCCCTTTGCCATTCACCTTTGATAATTAATCGCTGTAAACAATGTATTTGAAAGGTTAATAGAATACGAGAATTATGCAAGAATATTCATCGTGTAATACAAGAAGTACTTTGATAGTTTTAATGATCAGGTAGACTTGGAAATAATAGATGAATAAAAATGAGACAAAAATACCTTATCTTTTCAAATGTTCTTCAAGGGCCAAGAGAGGCCAATGTGAGAAGTAATAATATGGGGTTAAAAAATAGACATTTTGTTAATAGTCTGTATGGTACATGTAATAGTGATAAATGGGGGACAGATAGAATACTAGACCAATTATTTTGTTGATACTAATCATACTATTTTTCTTGCTTTTGGGCAAAAAAGCTTCATTTATCAGTTTATGGGTCCTCTAAATTGTTGTATTGTACTCAGGTGACCGTTAAGGCCCTTGGGCCTCTTGTTTTAATGTATCCATAAAATATGTGATAAAAGAATACTTCATAATTTTATTTAACTGAATTCCCGCTGTCAGTGTTTATTAGTCTCCTCTTAATTATTTTATCTTAATTTGGGGGAGGACGATCAAAATCTTTCCAACGACTACAAATTGATAATCTGTGTAACTGTGTCAATCCGAAACGACCAATCAATCGGTACACATGTACCGATGAAAAGCTTGATATGTGGTCAGGCAATTGTTGTCCAAACATCCAGTCTCAAAACATTTGTGTAACTGTGTCAATCCGAAACGACCAATCAAGCGGTACACATGTACCGATGAAAAAGCTTGATATGTGGTCAGGCAATTGTTGTCCAAACATCCAATCTCAAAACATCAGCACATGGGGCTAGCCTGTCAATCAAATCAGTTTTGTTTTTATTATGATTGATTAGCGGTTATTTATCGATCTTCACTTCGTTGTTTTTTACATTCTTATATCTGTTTTACTGATATAAGAAAACTGATAGCACGACTATGTGCTCCATTTCCGTTTTGCTTTTGTAATCAATAAAAAAAATTAAACAGAAATTTCATCATAAGAAATTACTTTGATATTAAATAAACTTGATGAATATATATATTTTTAAAAATAATTCTAAGGTGAACGTTGTTTCATACATGTATGTGGAACATCAACTATATATATATATATATATATATATATATATATATATATATATATATATATATATCCCATGTTTACCCCTTTATCCCGTGGATATGACTCATTGGATAAATTTTTCATAATCCACAGTTAAGTGCAGTTGTGACGTCACAATGGTTTTTGCGTTAGCGTGATGAAGTAAAATAAAGTGGAGTCCTATATAAAACAGTGTAAAACATTGGTTGTGAAGTATTAAACAAGGGATAAAAAGAATCTCCCATGATTTGTAGTTGGATATGACTTTTATCCAACTCGTTGTGTGTTTTTATCCCCTCGCCAAGGCTCGGGGATAAAAAACACACAACTCGTTGGATAAAAATCATATCCAACTACAAATCATGGGAGATCCTATATATATATATATATATATATATATATATATATATATATATATATATATATATATATATATATATATATATATAAGGGTGTGTGTGTGTGTGATATTTTATCCAATCATACATATTCATATTGACATTGATTGAATTTAATAGAATGCCTCCAGCATTGATAATCATCACACGTCTGACCAAAACAAAGAAATTGAAAATTCTTCACAAGGAAATAGAACCAGAATTTTCAGTACAATCAAAGAAGAAGAAAATTGGAGGAAAGATCGAAAAAAGAAGGACAATCATAATATAAGTAAGAAAAATGGAAAATAAAAGCAAAAGATTAAGAAAATGATAAAATATTTCAAAAGCAAGAAGCATATTAAACAATATGTATGAAATGGAAGTATAAATAGATTCTTCACTATCGTTTATAAGCAGAATGTAATTGTAGGGTACTTATCATCTTTCGGTAGTTAAGCTAAAATTTAGAGGATGTAATTCTTTAAAAGCAACAGAAAAGAACTGAAGCTCGATCTATAACTCAATAAAAATAAATCAGACAACAAATTCATACTATTTGCTGCAAACGTAGCCAGAAAATGTTAATTTTTATATATTTTTAAAATAGAATATTTGTACAATTTCCGTCTTCATTCTTTAAAAATACATGTTTGGGGACTCAACACGGCACTTTTCATCCGAATGCAGTAGTGCTGTCAAATAAATGCTGTAGTCAGGAAATCTGTAAATGTCAGGTTACTTGTCAAACCAACATGCGCCAGTTTAATATAGACATGTATTACGTGACCAATTCCATAAATAAGATAAAAGGAAACCGTAAATCACTCCAAGCTTCTATCAGTAGTGTCTTAACAGTCATAATAACATAACGTTTTGCCGGCTATAAAATTCAAATCCAAGTCTTCAAATGCTGGACATCAAATCAATTAAGCCAAGGGGAATTCACATTTCTAATATCTCAAACAAAGTTTATTTCAAAATCTAAGTATACTATTTTTGAAATTGATTGCAGACTATGCTATGCAACATCTTGTGTTATTTCCGTTTAACTATATTCCAACACCATTCAAATATCTTATTGCAGTTGAAAGACGGCGCCGTTATAATATCAATGACAGAATTAAGGAATTGGCCACTCTACTTCCATCAAGCGTGCCTCAGTAAGATTTTTTTTAATATGTAGAATTCTAAGACGTTTGTTAGACAGTGTTTTCTTATTCTTGACCTTTTCATGATGTTAAAATTTGTGATATAATTTTTGCATTTCAGGCCTAAATTCGACTCCATGAATTACAATAAATGACTTTCTAGGAGTTTTTCTCCCGTGTGTTGGTATTTAGCTATACTTTGTATTCGAAATGTTGCAGGTTTTAATTATCCTCAGTTACGTTAGTCACTAAGTCAATGTGTAAACCTTGGTTGTGCATATTAAAAATAGAACAACACAGGTTGTAGAGTTCAGCGCAGGTTGTATTATATATACAAATAAATAATGGTATAAATAAATCAGTATATGACTCTGTCTATCTGTCCCTGCAAAATCAATGAACAAAACCTTAGAGTGATTTTTTGTAGTAAAAAAAAATACTTTATTATATACTAGCGACATTATTGTCACGATAGTGAATGAATGAAATTAAGAATGTATCTATTTACAGTGATCTAAAGCAGAACAAAGGATCCATTTTGAAAGCATCAGTAGAATATATGAAGGAACTTATGAAAGACAAACAGGCTTTAGAAAAGTTGGAGGAAAACCAAAAGGCCATGGATTTAAAATATCAAAAGCTGCTCGTCAGAATTTTCGTAAGAAGCCATTAATTCTTTACGTGATTAAAGAATAAAAAAACTCGTACAACTAAAAGCACATGACAAGAAATGCATTCAAGGTAGAGACAGGCCCGTAGAACGCGGGGGGGGGGGGGGAGGGGGGCACTTTTTTCTGAGCATATAGTTTTTTGCTATTGTAAATTTTCCTTTAGATGCTGGTTATTCCCCCACTTTTTGATGTTGTAAGGTCGAGCACTGGCAATTTCCAGGATTTAGACAGTAAATTACCAGTTTTTGCCTGTCAGATAATTTTGGGAAGTTGCCCCCCGCCCCCTTTTTGCTTGTCAGATTTTTTTGTGAAGTTGCCCCCCCCCCCCCCCCCCCAACTTTTGAAACCGTTGCATAGGGCCTGAGAGAAAGTATACTTAAAACTGAATACCTTAAAAGATTCGATCACCAGTGAAGCATATACTATTCGCAGTATTCCCATTCAGAAAGTTTATAGTTTCTTAAATGACTCATTAGGCAATGAGTATAAATAAGATACAATGTATACTTATTTATTTTACTGTATTAATAAAAGTTGTACACGTAAAAAATATAAGAATTTTAATATATAGGTAAATTTTATTTTAGCAACTGGAATTAAAGTTGAAATTATATGGCCTATCGGAGGATTTGGAGCATTCCAGGATCAAAAAGAAAAAGAAGCCACAGAAGCGTATATCCGAAATAAATGCTATGGTAGATGATCTTGTCAAACAAGGCATGCCAGAAGTGCTCGAGCAAACGCCAAACATTTCAACACCTCCTTGCAAGAAAACCAAAAACGATATTTGGCTGAGCAATGACGAACAAAAGCTCCTTCCATCAGTAAAGATAGGTTTACGCCAACATCTCAACAAGAAAATGTCTGAAGGAGGACATGGCTGTCAACAAAATAATGACAGTATGTTTTACGTTGAATCGACTAATCATGTTCAGCATTCAAAGAAGCAGAAAAAAGAACAAATCTCCACTCCATCTCATTCAATTGACAGAAGCACAGGAGGAGCAAATGAATATCATGACTCCATTTCATTTGAGTATACACTACAGAAGAACAATGTCGTCAATTCAGGTAGAAACGAAGAGGAGGAAATCTTGGAATTGTCAACGGAACAATGCAGCATTTTGCTTGATCTGTTTGAAAACAACCCGAGCGGAAAAGAACCTGAACTAGATGCAAATTGTTTGCCTAATCCAGACAATGCTTCTGCTAGGGAAGAGTGTCTGTCGCCCTTAACTTCAACCTGCAACATGTTGGAAAGTTTGCTGAGAAAGCAAGATATGAAACCAGAATGTAGCTCAAAATCGAGTGGCCTGGAGGATTCTACTGAGAGCATGACGGGGTTACGTTAGAAAATAAATAAAATGGAACATATAGAATTAGTTAACTGATTTCATTAGAGTACTGAAAGTTATATTTTTTGCCATTTCGTTTGAAAGTTTATTCGCATGATGTACAAACCAAAGAAATATAGTATAATAATCACTGCCGTGTTTCACTGGTGTTTGATCAGACAAACTTATTAATTAACTGTGTTCTTTAAATGGGGTATTTGAAAATGTCCTACGAAAAAAAAAAGTTTACAGTTTGCAACATAGCCCACGCCTTTCTCACTGTAACAATTAACCTTGTATCATATGTGTTAGGTATTGACCATTTGTCATATTCATATTCAAAACATAATGAGGCCAATAGAATTCTCAAACTTCTATTTTTTAATTAAATCCAGGCACCAATACTTAATTTGACATTTTATGACCGAAGAAAAAAAATTCAAAATTAATCATTTCATTATTGTTTTTGTTTTGAATTGCATGATTTATTGTTGTGTTCTGTTGAACCATTTTTTTGTATTACAATTTAAACCCTGCCGACTAGAGAAGGGAAACCGAAGTTGATTAAAATAATGTGATTTTAGCTCTTCTGGTCAGACACCAGAAGAGCTAATGCGAGTGTAAGGTGTCCTTCGTCCGTCCGTCTACCCTTAAACAATTTTTCAAAACGCTACTAATCCTGCGTCCAGTTTTGGTAAATCTACACGTAGATGCACAATTACACTATAGTAAGATACTTAATCCGGTTTATCGTTTTTGATTTCGACAAACGGTGTTGCCGTGGTTACTATAAATAATTTTTTTGTGAAATTCTTTCAAAACAATAGTCTTTCTACAGTTTTGGTTCCATTTCGTAGGACTTAGTACAACAGTAAACTATACTAAAATGCGTAATTCTTTTTATCGGTTTTTGATTTCATCAAACAGTGTTGTCAAGGTTATTCGTCGCCGCAAATCACGACGATATTGTAAGATCATCTCTGGTTCTGGCCGTGGCTGAATGCGGAAAGAATATTTCTTAGCTCTTTAAAAAAATTGACCAATGCGAGTAAAGCATACATGAAAATAACCTTTGAACAGTTGAAGCGACCTTTCAATATCCAATCGCAGTTAATAACATTTACTGCATATATTGTTGATTTAGAGGATATATAGTATATTACATGTGTATCGGTTTTTGAATCCAACAAATAGTAGTGTTATGGTCAGGCCTAAAATAAAAAAAATGTTTGTTTGCAGTTGCATAACAACACACCCAAAATGCACCCGACTCTAACTTTTTTCAGCCATTTTTTTTTATTTGGTAAATTTCAAGATTCCAGGATATTGAAACTGTTTCATTTTCTATTTTTAAGCGGTTAGCGTATACGCAAATCGCTTTATGTCATGTAACCAAAGGTCTTACGCAATTTTTGTCAACACCGGAAGCTTCGTCAAAGCGCTACCTCTGCAACACCGGAAGCTTCGTCAAAGCGCTACCTATGCTCTGTTTACCATCGCTACCTCTACTGCCTATCTGACTCTGACAGGCTATCACCCGAGATAATCGCCCGGCTTGAATTTTAGGGGTTACTTGCAGAGTATAAACTCGTCGGTAAATCCTGCGGTCGTGATTTACAGTTAATGTTTATTTTTGGGAGTTGAACGATTTTGCATAAATTAGGTCTATATAGCACCCCTCTTGAACAATTTATTGACCGCCATAATTATTTGACTCAATTATGCCTCGATGGGCACTTGATGGACGGGTTCAATGCTGACTAAAGGGGTTAAAGGATATTACCGACTGCAAAACATCGGCGAGACTCTCCTTTGGTTTTCTCATACGAGTTTACCCCGATGTAGTTATAGTTTTTATTAAGTGAAGTAATATATGAAAAAAAGTTTTTATTAAAAGCATTAAATACATTTTAAGTTTTCAAATTTTTTTTTGTACAACTATTTTAATAGAAACAATGGAATTACTTTCATAATATAAAGTTATTTCTTCTCTAATATTAAAAGATTATAAAAGTTTAGCTCACAGGAGCACATTCTGTACTCTTTTTATTATAATCATAAACGAATACATACTTTTATTTTTTGAGGAAAAAAATATTTTATGGGAAACTGAAAAAAAGATAAAATAAAAAAGAAACAGAAAACATATAAAAGCTTTAATCGGCATTGTGATCCTCTTCTAAAATTCATCAACCTTTATAAAATATGCAAAGATTTAGCTGAGAACGTTTTAAAAAGATATATAATGAAAGAGTGATAAAAAAAATCTTGGCAATTAACAAAGATTTTAAATAATAATTAATTATTATTTCAGAACTTGTTAAATGTCTTTTGAAAAATATGTAAGTTGTAAACATATTTCGTTTTAATTTGTTCAAACTTTATTTTGATTTTGATTTTGAGTCTTTGTAAATAAAAATAAAAATACAGGTGTAGGCATATTAATAGAAATCCATACTGTTATTAATAAAAAAAATATCAAATTGATGTAAATTGCTTTGCTAACATATTAATGAAC